CCCCCCCTCCCCCGACGCCAGGAGGAACAACAACCACAGACGGGGACCCACCAGACCCGTTTGCCGCACACACGTACGAGAACGGGGACGAGTTCAGGCAGGGGCTCGGGCCGCCGCTGAGCCGCGACGTTCTCGGCGCCCCGCCTGTTCCCTCTTCCCCGAGACCAGCGAGAGGAGACGATGGGCCAGCCGACGGTCAGGCGGACAGCGCGAACCAGCCTCCAGGTAGGAGAGTGGAATAATCGTTGTTTTGTTAGGATTTATGATTTATTTGTCCTTTCTGCTGTTCCAATTTGATCATGGTTCAAAAAGGAATATTTTCCTGTCTCCTACATACTTTTTGCACAAATTTTTATTTGTATTATCAATTTGTAATCTTTGTTATCATCATTGTTTTTCTGTTTACTGTAACAGTTCTTCTTTTGTTAGAAATGATTTATTATTTCTCGTTAAGAGGAGAAAGAAGAACCCAGGGTTCTCCCCTCTAGTAGCTACATGTAAATTGACCCGAAACATCATAAAAAATTAAATGGATTACATGTCACAGGGAGTCTGAAGCTGACTGCCTCTGAAAACAATGACAGCAGACCACGGGGAGTGATGTGAATATTAACTGACATCTGAAGTGTCCAAAATTAAAAAAAATTAAAAAAAACATTTATTTTTGCTCCATCTCATAGACCCCGAGAAGAAGGACAAACCATCTGGGAACGACTGCGCGATCGTTGCACAGGCCGACAAATCGGCTTCATCATCGTCATCATCATTACGTCTGTCATCATGGTAACACTGATGGTACACGTGATTCTGATGCACACCGGCTCCCCAACGTCCCACCTTGACTCGGTAAGTTTGCTCGCTTCTTTGAACATCTTTGAAACACACCTTTCTTGGATGCCTACTTAGGCCATGTTGATTTGATTATATGGATGACATCCGCGCGCGCATGGATTTTCGGCTGTTTCCAAAAAAAAAGTTTTCAACCATACTGTAAATCGTACAAAACAGTTGCAAAATGAGCAAAAATATACCGTAAGTTACAAAAAAATAAATAAAAATTATACCAATGTCGTAGAATGCCAAAATCAAACGAAAAAAGACGAAATTGTAAAGAAATGAATTTGAAGAGTAGATTATTCGCCAAACCATATTCTGTGCCATTTGGTCAACCTTCATGACCGTGTACATTTCATAATGAAAACAACTTTTGTTTTTGCAAAATTTTTTTTTATTCGCACGCGTGCATCAATTTTTGGGCTCCCAGAGGATGTCAAATCAACATGGCCTTACTCAGGACACAAATTTTGAGTTGTGAAACTTATTTCGTTTGGGTAATTTATTGCTTTTATTATGTAATGTTATGTGAAAATAAGTCAAATAAAAATCAATAGTACATTGCATATTTAGTCCGAAAGAGACGAGGCTAGTGAAAATAAAATCCTTCAAATAACAGTTACACTAATTGTGATACACTGATGAATTCAGTGTTAAATGTTTCAAAAGCGGCGCCCTTGGTGCACGCGAAATGCGTTCGAATAATGGAACATAAACTGTACCTATGGAACATTTGTAAGCTGTACCACAAAAAAAAACAACTGCAGGCTGTACCGCTAGTTATCACACACCCGTATCGAACGTAATCGCGGGCCAGGTATAACATAAATGACCATATGATATTGTAACTCGTATATTGTTTGTAAATTTGTAATACTAAGTAGTAGTTTGTAGTTACTGTAATTGTTTATTTATTTATTTATTTATTTATTACAATTCACCACATACACATGTACATGGAAGGCATGATGGAACAGGTGGACCTAAGCACACTTTTTCAAGGCCACCATGCCGACAATTGTAAGATAGTTTAGTTTTGTAGTAGTGTTTTCTTACTGCCACACATTCATAATAATAATAATTGTTTATTGATTGATCGATGAGTACAATCGCTAGCACGTGGCAGCGCAACTAAAAAAGTAGCTCTGTATTGCATGCTAGTGTTTAAAAACTGTGGAGCAATAAAGTTCATTCATTCATTATCTGTTTGTAGCCTGTGCCCACCAATGGAGGAACGGACACCGCTGACGCTACTGGACATGCCTGGCAGAGCTCTGCTGAACCGAGGACTGTGACCTTGGCTGACATCATCAAGGTCAGAAGCTGTCCGATTAGGCGACACCAATTTGATTTGTTGGTTCTTGGATTTTTTTCACAAAAAAATATGAATATTGTAAATTATGTCATATGTGATGGAAAGTTTCTTTTTAAAGTCTTTAATCCTTTGAGACATTTGATATTGAATTGTAGAGTAGAGATAGATATTTTGAGTCTGCCAGTGCTACTAAAGTTTCCTGTTAGTCTTATGTCTACGTCTGAAGTTTGTAAATAACCGTCACACAGGTTGATCCGGCCCGCGGGCATGGCCCTCCTGACCCAGTCCCTGGGAAAGTGGAAACTGCTGGACCTACCCGAGCCACCATGGCCAGGCCGCTTTCCGTGGACACTAAAGGTTTGTCATTACTTACTGATTGCTGATAGCTTCTGTAACCACCCTTCAGCATAACTCACCATGCCAGCTTTTGTATCTGTATAGCCGGTATAACCGCCCTTCGGCGTAACTCACCAGCTTTTGTATTTGTATACTAGCCGGTATAACTGCTCTTTGGCGTAACACACCAGCTTTTGTATCTGTGTAGCCAGTATATTAAACTGCCCTTCGGTGTAACACACTAGCTTCTGTATCTGTATAGCCGGTATAACCTCCCTTCAGCGTAACACACCAGCTTCTGTATCTGTATAGCCGGTATAACTGCCCGTCAGCGTAACACACCAGCTTCTGTATCTGTATAGCCGGTATAACTGCTCTTCGGCGTAACACACCAGCTTTTGTATCTGTGTAGCCAGTATATTAAACTGCCCTTAAGCGTAACACACCAGCTTCTGTATCTGTATAGCTGGCATAACCGCCTTTCGGTGTAACACACTAGCTTCTGTATCTGTATATTATAGCCGGTATAACTGCCCTTCGGCGTAACACACCAGCTTCTGTATCTGTATATTATAGCTGGTATAACCGCCCTTCGGCGTAACACACCAGCTTCTGTATCTGTATAGCCGGTATGTAACTGCCCTTCAGCCTAACACACCAGCTTCTGTATCTGTATATTATAGCCGGTATAACTGCCCTTCGGCATAACACACCAGCTTCTGTATCTGTATATTATAGCTGGTATAACTGCCCTTCGGCGTAACACACCAGCTTCTGTATCTGTATAGCCAGTATAACTGCCCTTCAGTGTAACACACCAGCTTCTGTACGTGTATACGTACTTTCTACTCCTTCCAGCCACTTCCAGAAGCCTCGTAGTGGCTAAGTAAGGAACTGGCATTTTTTGACAAAGCTCCTTCTTTTGTATCGCTGTAGAAGTGCCTGTGGGAAGCAGCAGCGCACGGGTCATCACCTTTGGTGACGCGTCAGGGCCTGGAAACCTGCGCGGCGCACGCGCGGTCGCAGTTTCCCCCGACAACGAGATCTGGGTGGCTGACCAGACCAAAGCGCATCTTCAGGTGTACAGCATGGAAGGTGCCTTCCTGCGCCACTTTCCCCAAGCTGCACCGTACCCAGGAAAGAGGCTGTTTGACGTGTCCTTCGACAGAGATGGACAGATCTGGGTCCTGATGAATGGATACCCTACCAGCGCTGACACGATGGTGAAGATCGACAGGGAGGGCGATCTCAAAGCCAGCTTCGACCTCCCCAACGATGTGAAACGTGGGGCACCCCGCGGTATGGCGGTGGGCTTGCAGGTGTACGTCACCTGGTCTGATGGCTACAGTGGCGGCGTGCAAGCCTTCCAGCCTGACGGGCAGCTCCTCTGGGGTGTCGGCCCGCAGCAGCGAATGAAGATGCCAACGGAGGTCGCCGTTAGCGGTGAAGGCAACATCTACGTCTCCGACTTCCACCGTCATTACATCTACATGTACACCGCAACCGGACGGTACGTGAGGAAGTTTGGAGGTCCGGGATTGAGCGGTGGCCGCCTGAATCATCCCGAAGGCATCAGTACGGACAGTTCCAGTCACGTCCTCGTGGTGGACTCAGAGAGCCATCGTGTCGTGGTGTACTCAGGCCGGGGCGCGTATGTCCGCGACATCGCCATCCCCCGCCGTGCAAAATATCCCCCTGCAGTGGGGGTTGCAGTCGGGCCGGGAGGACAGTTGGTTGTGATCAACAAAAACACAATCTTCGTGTTCCCCCGCTACTGACAAGGCCATGTGGATTTGATTATATGGATGACATCCGCATGGATTTTAGTCCTGTTCCCCCCCCACACACACACACACAAAAAAAACAAACCTGTTTTAGACCAAAAAGATTTTTGGACCATACTGTAAATTGGTAAAAGCACCTCCAAGTGAGCAAATACATGTATATGCAGTAAATTGAGAAAAAAAATATTGGAAAACAATACTAATGGCCTATAAACCAATCCCAAAGGAAAAGAAGAAACATGAAGACATGAAAATGAACAGTCTATTATTCGCCATATCATGTTTGGTAAAGTTTTTTCACAATGATGGCAACTTTTTTTTTGCAGAACGTTTTTATTTTGCACGCTCGCATCAAATTATGGGTTTTTCAGAGGATGTCATCCATATGTCAACATGGCCTAATGCTGAGCAAGGATTTGTAAAGTCAGCAGTTTGTTGGCCTAAAACTTTAGCTGTTTAGCCCAGGTTTCGAGGCCTATTCAATAAAGAATCATACTGACCAATTTCTGTTACTTGCAAGTGGCTGTCAAAGTTGCACCAAAGTGCCTTGTAGTTGTATATTTTTACATTTGCCTTGAACTTGGAAATGTTTTCCTCCCAGCTGAGTTTTGAACATCGTGTCTAGAAATGTGACTTGTATGACTAGTAATTGTAGTCAAGCAAGTGTAGACTGTGGCTCAAAAGAACAGTAGAGAATGTAATAGTACAAAATTGTAGTATCAATTGTGATAGTAGCAATTTGAAAAAAATGTGATAGGTGCAATTGCCAGTACTAGTAGCAATCATGTGATATGTAACTGCCAGCCAAAGTTGCATACTACCAGAGAGAGCATGGCAAGCCAGTGTTTTTATTGTTCTGTATTTTGGGTTAGGTGAAGCATTTTGTTAGGTGAAGCATTTTGTTTCTTCTTTATTTACAATACTAAAGATAATTGTAATACATGATTCTGTAACTGACCAAAAGTAATTATAAAATCAATTGTATTTAAGGGGAACACCTCGATAAACCTGTAGGGTTCTGCGTTCACCTGCATATTCCTTCTACATAATTTGCTGCATACTGACTTGTTTTTAAAGAAACAACAGTAATGTTTGTGTGCACAACCATGCTTGAATTCCATATTCCAATTTCCATTATTAACTACTTCCATTTCAAAAGTATCTTGGAGAGTAACATCATGTAATACAACCATGCTTCAATTCCAGATTAATATCTGTTGTGTCTATATCTAAAAAGTATCTTGCAGAGTAACAACATGTCCCTATTGATGTAAACACTTAATAAGCAGTCAGTGGCAGACTCAAGGCTGATACTTTTTACCATTGCTTAATTCATTGAGTGATTTTATAACACATCCTTGTCGAAAGTCTCATGCACATAAACAGCACTACATGTAACTAAATGGCACCAATCACCATCTGTAGATTGAAGTGAATTTTGTGAATAAACGGTACGGTGTTGTATGTTATAATCAGAGCTTGTGGCTTGTTGTTGTTGAAAGGTGTAGACAATCAAATACCTCCTTTTCAGAAGGATAATTATGAATATAAATGTTACAAATCGTTTGATGGGATCAAAGAGCTCTAACTTAAAGATCTTGAAGTCTGAGGGGCAACAAATTTGCTGGTACATGTAGACTAAAGTTTAGTTTACTGACATCCCTTTCCATATCTTTACACATTGGGCAAAATTTCTGTCTGTCATGAGTGGCAAAATTCTGTCAAATGACGAAAGGATGGAACAGTGATTCCAATGGAAATCCAACAAGAAAAAGTCACGTAGCAGACCAGGAAAGAGGTGGGCTTAGACCAGATTAGGGATGATCATGAGAGAAAGACCAGAGGGACTGAAAGATCTGAGGAATCAAAGTGAAACTCCTGATGCAGGGCTGGGCAGCATGGGGGGGACATGACCCAAACAAACTGGAATGAATGAATGAATGAATGAATGAATGAATGAATGAGAAGGCAGGGAAGAACTGGAGAGAAGGCTGAGGAGAGAGGACCAGAACTAGGAAGAAGCACTAGCCAGGGAGGGGTATAACAGAGAGGACAAAGTTCCCTGGGTTCTACTCTCTACGTGCAGAATGGTGTTGAAGCTGAGAAAGGATTTAGCTAGAAGAGCTTGAGTCTTAAAGTGAAGGCAAAAAGGACTGAACCAGAGACTTTTGATGCCTTTTGAGCATTTTATTACGGTGCAAATGGGAGATAACAAACGAAAATACCCTATAGTGTTATACGTGACGTAATTGCCGACATTATGATCGTTTGATCATCCTTGTGAATATCCTACAAGATAAATTTTAATTAGCATATTTTAATTAGCATATATGTAAAGTGACTATTATTTTGTATTAGTGTGACACTGCTCTCCAACGGGAGGAAATAAAGAGAAAGAAAGAATGAATGAATGAAGTACAGCACTTGAGTAACGCTCGTGTTACCATAGGCGGAGGCATGGAGGGAGATGACCCTAACAAACTGGAATGAATGAATGAATGAATGAATGAGTGAGTGAATGCATGAATGAAGGAATGAAGTACAGCACATGAGTAACACTCGTGTTACAATAGGCGGAGGCTCCTCATCCCGAAGACGGTTTAAAGGTGAGGTAAAGGGATCAGTGTAGCTGAAGACATTCCACACATTCCTAATTTTTGTTTATGTTTCCTTGTTTACTACTTTTCATTACTACTTTTCATTATTGTAGATAGTATTGTATTGTATTGTATTTTATAGTTTTGTTTCATTTACCCGTTACCTGAGTTATTTCTTATTTAAAGTGCGAAATAAACTGAACTGCAGATGTTTTCCAGGAGAGGGGCTTACTGTGTTGTCTTGACGGTCACTAGTCTTCAATAAACAGTTCCCTCTTCCCTTTCACATGGACAGAGAAACACTATGAATTCTGTGACATCGTTGAATGGGTGTGGAGGCAGCGGTCAGTTCTGTATCCCTGCTGGACACGTGGACTTTTGTGGGGCGGCGCGCTTGCTGGCGCCCCGCCGGTTTTAGCTGAACCGTCAGATGGACTAGCCGCCATCGCGTGCCGTGCCCAACCCGGTTCTGATCATCGCTCTGAGCTTTCCTGATTACACTTTGATTGTCTGGAGATTTGGTATTTTACATGTTATACCCAATCAAAATACTTATATATATACTATTAGGAATTTTCTCATCTACATTGTACAGTGTGCTATGACCGCTTCATGCATATGAAGCAACTTCGTGCTGTACTGCAGTAAAAGCATACTGTATAGCAAAGTAACTTGTAGTGGGAAAGAAGAGGGTATTTTATCACTTCACCAAAATCAAACTACAGTCAAACTTGTACTAGTGGTCACCTTTGTGTGTGGTCACTTGGCTATAGCGGTCAGTTTTTGCTGGTCCCTTGAATTTTTCCCATTGACGTAAGCATGTAATATTTTGTTTCAACCTTCAATGAAAGTCCTTTTGTCAAATGAATAAAGAATCTTTTACTAAGTTTTACTAAACTCAATTTCTGTAAATGTGCAATAGTTATTTAGTGTTAATTGATGAGAATTACTGTTCTTGTGACATATTAGGTAGTACAGTTAGGGACGATTATTGCCATGCATTGATTATGTAAATTTACCCAACATTAGCATAACTAACGAGTAAATGTTCGAATTAGCATAATGCAAAATGATTGGACTTTCAAACAATATACATTACGACAATTAGAATTTATTTGCATAATTAATGAAATACAATAATGCCAGAGAATTAGAAATCTCTGAAGGTATAATCTGCCTAATAAAAGAAAGCCATAAATGAAGTATCTGGAATTTAGAATATAGACAGGAAATAAATGGAGAAAAACAGCTTTTTAAGAGGTCTTTGATCCCACCAAAGATTTGTAACATTTATATTCATATCCTTTTAGAAAGGAGGTACTTAATTGTCTGCACCTTTCAACAGCAAGCCACAAGCTCTGATTAAAACATACATGTACAACACTGTACCATTTTATTTACAAAATTCACTTCTACAGATGCTATTTGGTGCTGTTTATATATACTAGTTACTTCTGTTTACGTTTATAAGACTTTTGGCAAGGTTGTGTTATACAGCCACAGTCTATACTTGTTTGACACTGCAATTACAATCCAAATTTCTAAACACAACCATTAAAATTCTGAATCAGCTAAGGAAAACATTTTGAAGTTGAATGTAAATGTAAAAATATACAAGGCACTTTGATGCAACTTTGAGAGCCACTTACAAGTAACAGAAGTTGGTCAGTATGATTCTTTATTGAATAGGCCTCGAAACCTGGACTAAACAGCTAAAGTATTAGGCCAACAAACTGCTACACTTATTGCAACTTTACAAGACTAGGGCCAATCCCTGCACAGCATTAGGCCATGTTGATATATAGATGACATCCTCTGAAAAACCCAAAAGTTGATGCGAGCGTGCAAAATAAAAACGTTTGGCAAAAAAAAATTGCTTTGATTGCGAAACAAGGCCAGAAGGTTGAAGAAGGAAGGTTGAACAAATGATGAAACATGGAATGGCAAATAATAGTCAAGACTGTTAATTTTCATTTCTTAACATTTTCTTCTTTTCCTTTGGGATTGGTTTATAGGCCATTAGTATTGTTTTCCAATATTTTTTTTCTCAATTTACTGCATATACATGTATTTGCTCACTTGGAGGTGCTTTTACCAATTTACAGTATGGTCCAAAAATCTTTTTGGTCTAAAACAGGTTTGTTTTTTTTGTTGTGTGTGTGTGTGTGGGGGGGGAACAGGACTAAAATCCATGCGGATGTCATCCATATAATCAAATCCACATGGCCTTGTCAGTAGCAGGGGAACACGAAGATTGTGTTTTTGTTGATCACAACCAACTGTCCTCCCGGCCCGACTGCAATCCCCACTGCATAGGGGTATTTTGCACGGCGGGGGATGGCGATGTCGCGGACGTACGCGCCCCGGCTCGAGTACACCACGACACGATGGTTATCTGAGTCCACCACAAGGACGTGACCGGAACTGTCCGTACAGATGCCTTCGGGACGATTCAGGCGGCCACCGCTCAATCCCGGACCTCCAAACTTCCTCACGTACTGTCCGGTTGTGGTGTACATGTAGATGTAGTTACAGCTGAAGTCGGAGACGTAGACGTACCCTTCGATGCTAGTGGCGACCTTCGTTGGCCTCTTCATTCCCTGCTGCTGGCCGACGCCCCAGAGGAGCTTCCCGTCAGGCTGGAAGGCTTGCACGCCGCCACTGTAGCCATCAGACCAGGTGACATACACCTGCAAGCCCACCGCCATTCCACGGGATGCCCCACGTTTCACATCGTTGGGAAGGTCGAAGCTGGCTTTGAGATCGCCCTCCCTGTCAATCTCCACCATCGTATCGGCGTTGGTAGGGTACCCATTCAGCAAGACCCAGATGTGGTCTTCTCTGTCGAAGGATACGTCAACCGGCTCCTTTCCTGGGTATGGTGCAGCTTGGGGAAAGTGGCGCAGGAAGGCACCTTCCATGCTGTACACCTGGACGCGCGCTTTGGTCTGGTCAGCCACCCAGATCTCGTTGTCGGGGGAAACTGCGACCGCGCGTGCGCCGCGCAGGTTTCCAGGCCCCGACGCGTCACCAAAGGTGATGACCCGTGCGCTGCTGCTTCCCACAGGCACTTCTACAGCGATACAAAGGAAGGAGCTTTGTCACAAAACGCCAGTTCCTTACTTAGCCGCTACCGGGCTTCTGGAAGTGGCTGGAAGGAGTATGTATACACAGAAGCTGGTGTGTTTCGCCGAAGGGAGGCTATACCGGCTATACAGATACAGAAGCTGGTGTGTTACGCCGAAGGGCGGCTATACCGGCTATACAGATACAGAAACGAAGCTGGTGTGTTCCACTGAAGGGCAGTTTAATATACTGGCTACACAGATACAAAAGCTGGTGTGTTACGCCAAAGAGCAGTTATACCGGCTAGTATACAAATACAAAAGCTGGTGAGTTACGCCGAAGGGCGGTTGTACCGGCTATACAGATACAAAAGCTGGTGAGTTACGCAGAAGGGTGGTTGTACCGGCTATACAGATACAAAAGCTGGCGAGTTATGCTGAAGGGTGGTTATAGCAGCTATCAGCAATCAGTAAGTAATGACAAACCTTTAGTGTCCACGGAAAGCGGTCTGGCCATGGTGGCTCGGGTAGGTCCGGCAGTTTCCACTTTCGCAGGGACTGGGTCAGGAGGGCCATGCCCGCGGGCCGGATCAACCTGTGTGACGGTTATTTACAAACTTCAGACGTAGACATAAGACTAACAGGAAACTTTAGTAGCACTGGCAGACTCAAAATATCTATCTCTACTCTACAATTCAATATCAAATGTCTCAAAGGATTAAAGACTTTATAAAAAGAAACATTCCATCACACATGACATAATTTACAATTTTCATATTTTTTTCTGAAAAAAATCCAAGAACCAACAAATCAAATTGGTGTGGCCTAATCGGACAGCTTCTGACCTTGATGATGTCAGCCAAGGTCACAGTCCTCGGTTCAGCAGAGCTCTGCCAGGCATGTCCAGTAGCGTCAGCGGTGTCCGTTCCTCCATTGGTGGGCACAGGCTACAAACAGATAATGAATGAATGAACTTTATTGCTGGACAGTTGTACATGGTACAATGTGTCGCAGTAAGAAAACACTACTACAAAACAAAACTATTGTACAATTGTCGGCATTGTGGCCTTGAAAAGGTGTGCTTAGGTCCACCTGTTCCACCATGCCTTCCATGTACATGTGTATGATTGTGGTGAATTGTAATAAATAAATAAATAAACAATTACCAAAAACTACTATTAATAACAATATATCAGTTACAATATCATATTACAAAATGAAATGTTCCATAGATTAATTCGAACGTGTTTAATGTGCACCAGGTGCACTACTTTTGAAACATTGAACACTGAATCCAGTCTATTTCACTTAGACTAAGAGAGTAAGAGCATTATTTGAAGGATTTCATTTTCACAAGCCTCATCTCCTTCTGACTAAATATGCAATGTACTATTGAATTTTTATTTGATATATTTGCACATAACATTACATAATAAAAGCAATAAATTACCCAAACGAAATAAGTTTCACAACTCAAAATTTGTGTCCTGAGTGAGTAAGCATAGCCTGGGTACCATCCTGGTTAGTTTATGTCCGCTCCCACAGTCCTGGTCCCAGACTGGTTGGTCGGTAGCGACTGTGGGAGTGGACGTAAACTAACCAGGATGGTACCTAGGCTAGAGTAAGCATGCAAGAAAGGTATCTTTTGTAAGATGTTCAAACAAGCGAGCAAACTTACCGAGTCAAGGTGGGACGTTGGGGAGCCGGTGTGCATCAGAATCACGTGTACCATCAGTGTTACCATGATGACAGACGTGATGATGATGACGATGATGAAGCCGATTTGTCGGCCTGTGCAACGATCGCGCAGTCGTTCCCAGATGGAGCGTCCTTCTTCCGCGTTGCCGTTGTCTAGGAGAAAGAGAGAAAAAAATTGTAAGCATCTTCTGTTAATTGCATTTGAGTGTTGAGCGAGTTGTTGTAGAAACAAATGCAATTTACAGTAATATTGAATATAATATTGGGTATATGCAGGTTAGTGCAGGTAAAATTGGAGCTGTGCAGGTATTTCTGATGTCTACCTGCACCTAACCTGCACTGGTCCATGTACTGGGTATATGCAGGTTAGTGCAGGTAAAATTGGAGCTGTGCAGGTATTTCTGATGTCTACCTGCACCTAACCTGCACTGGTCCATGTACTGGGTATATGCAGGTTAGTGCAGGTAAAATTGGTGCTGTGCAGGACCTGGTATTTCTGATGTCTACCTGCACCTAACCTGCACTGGTCCATGTACTGGGTACATGCAGGTTAGTGCAGGTAAAACTGGAGCTGTGCACTAGCCATGCAAGTACTGTGTTTTCAGTGTGATGCATACTTCCTAAATTCTGAAAGGTGCAGGTAAAACTTGACTCTCCTACCTGGAGGCTGGTCCGGGCTGTCCGCCTGACCGTCGGCTGGCCCATTGTCTCCTCTCGCTGGTCTCGGGGAAGAGGGACCAGGCGGGGCGCCGAGAACGTCGCGGCTCAGCGGCGGCCCAAGCCCCTGCCTGAACTCGTCCCCGTTCTCGTACGTGTGTGCGGCGGTCGGGTCTGGTGGGTTTGTTGTTCCTCCTGGCGTCGGGGGAGGGGGGGGAGGGGCCCCTGTCGGTGTTGGTTGGTCCTCGTGGCATCGGGGGAGGGGGGGCACATTCCCCATCGTACACATGTGCAGCGGTTGGGTCTGGTGGGCCCCCGTCGGTGGTGGTTGTTGTTCCTCCTGGCCTCGGGGTAGAGGGGCCAGGCGGGGCGCTGCGAGCATCCGGGATCGAATGCGCGTACTCATGTGCGGCACCTGCATGTGTAGAATCAAGAGGAAAAATGGTAGCCTGGGTGTCAGCCACTACCGGTAGGGAATCTTGGGGAGCGGACGAAAGCCAGAAAGGCTGACCCTCAGGCTAGAAAAATGGTACACTCTTGTGTGGCGGCTTCATTTTTTTTATCAGGGCGTAACAAAATAAGAAACACAAGACAGCAATGGTGATGCACTCAAGTTAATTAACATTAAATAATCGCTGCCATTAAACATAAAATAACAAAAAATATTTAATACTACAAAATAACAAATAAATAACAAATATATACAAACAATCTAAGTGCAGGCACAAAATGGGGTCAAATTTAATACAATGAAAAGTGCAGGTCATTTGTATAATCAATAGAAAAATGGTATAATACATGTACATGTATTTAATATATAGCCTTCTGTGCTAGGGCACCTTTGCTATCAGTATGATTTGCTGTTTAGAATTAATGAATTAAACAAAGATTATAAAACATGATACATGTGTGAATAACCAGGCTTTTAGCTAGGGGGTGTCCAGGGTGTCTTTTGGACGCCCTGTACTGAAAATAATAAGAAATTGGACGCCCTACTTTTTTGTAGGACACCCTAAAGACGCCCTATTTTTTCCACTCCCAACCCCTGCCATGCACACATGCCTCCCTTCAGCCTTACTATAAATACAAAAATGATGGTTTACTGAAGGAAAAAACTCAAATTTACACCTGAAAATGCAGAAAGTAGTGTTTGAGAGCATTATGAATTTCAAAAAAGTCCCCCTAAAATCTTGCACTCAGCATGTCTTCACTGTGCATAGCATACAATAAAAAAAAATGGACGCCCACCAAAAAAATCCTAGCTAAAAGCCTGTGAATAACGTCATCTTAGGTACAGAGTATATGTATGCGGTAACAATAAAGGTTTAATTATTCTCTAACATGTGGTCTCTAACTAAGATCGAAACATTCTTTTACATGTTTCCCTTTCTAAACTCTAAAGACTTGAAAAACTAGGAAGAAAAGGACTTTCTTCAACCGTTGAGCCCAAAATATGTCTTTCAGAGAGCATTTTGCAGTTGATTTAAAACCTAAAATCTTTTTTTCAAACAGCAAAAAATGGATAGGGCGAATCCGAGAAACAACAAATTAAATTGGTGTGGCCTAACTGGACTATGGACTACTGGCCTTTTACATAGATAGAACTTTTTTTTTATTTTTATAAATCATTCTTTTTATTGTTTCCAAAATTCTCACAAAAGAAAGCATGGCACAACGAAACAAAATGAAACCACATCATGCATAACAACAAAACTAAATAAAAACCAGTAAACAATATAGATTATATAACAGAGTGTTAAAGTATTAAAAAATAGAACTTTATTGCACGACAATTGCACATGGTACAATGTATGTTTCCATTTCTAGACTCTATTGCAACAAGACATACATACACTACAACTACAATTTAATCATTCTTATACCATGGTAACATTGTTACTAACCTGCCGTGTACACCGGATTCATATGCACGTGTTTGTGGTCTTGCGTTTGTGGCAGATTGTCGTACCCATCTGCCCTTCTTCCATGGCTCTGTCCGGAGTGCTGAGGGTCCTCATCAGTTGTTCCTCCTGGCCTCGGGGTAGATGGGCCGGGTGGGGTGCTGCGAGTGTTCCGGTTCAGAGGCGTGTACTCGTGTGTGGCACCTGCATTTGGAGAATAAAGAACAAAAATGGTAACCTGAGTGTTAGCCACTACTGGTAGCAAATGGTGGGGAGCGGACGAAAGCTAAAAAGGCTGACACTAAAAATGGTATACAGTGAAGTCATTCAATATTACCATGCTATTTAGTAAGATTAGACCTACTAATGTGAGGATGTTTCTGACTCAGGGAGAAGAGTTGCTGTTACAGTTCTATACCTCTAGCTCTATGCCTAGAAGTGGCCAATGGCTTTGCATTGAGCGACACTGTTAAAAAAAAAAGAACTAACCTGCCGCATACACCTGATTCCTATGCACGTGTTTGTGGTCTTGCCTCTGTGGCAGGTTGTCATACCCATCTGCCCTTCTACCGGAGAGCTGAGGCGGTCGCCCCAGAGACCGTCCGGATCCGAAGCGGCGGGGCGGTGGACTCGGAGGCTGTTCGGCGCGGTGAGGCGGCACCTCCGGAGCCTGCTCAGTGAGATCTCGGGGAGACGAGGAGCCAGTTTCTCCCCTCCCCTCGCCGTGGCTGCTGTGGCCTACGTCCTGCATTTCTGCAACGTCGTTGAGAGGGAGTGGAGGCAGCGGTCGGTCCTGTATCCCTGCCGGACGCGTGGACTTTCGCGGGAAAGCCGCCCTGCCGGTTTTAGCTGAACCGTCCGACGGACTAGCTGCCATCGCGTGCCGCACCAAAACTGGTTCTGATCATCGCTCTGAGCTTTCCTGATTACACTTTGATTGTCTGGAGATTTGGTATTTTACATGTAACACCCGCTCAAAATACTTAGGAATTTTCTCATCTACAGTGTGCTATGACCACTTCATGCATATGAAACAACTTCGTGCTGTACTGCAGTAAATGCATCATGACTGTATAGCAAAGTAACATGTAGTGGGAAATAAGAGGGTATTTTATCACTTCACCAAAATCAAACTAAAGTGAAACCTGTACTATTGACACCTTTGTATAGTGGTCACTTGGTATAGCGGTCAGTTTTTGCTGCTCCCTTGAATTTTTCCCATTGACGTAAGCATGTAATATTTTGTTTCAACCTTCAATGAAAGTCCTTTTGTCAAATGAATAAACAATCTTTTACTAAGTTTTATTAAATTAGTAAATTTCTGCAAATGTGCAATAGTTCTTTAGTGTTAATTGATGAGAATTACATTCTTGTGACATTGGTAGTATCTGTATATGTATCAGTATAGCCGGTATAACTGCTCTTCAGCGTAACATACCAGCTTCGCAGGCACGCGGCGCGGCGGCAGCTTGCTACATGTACACCGAACACCTATATTACACTCAATCTTTGCACATTTGATTGCAGTAGTTGTTTAAAGCTTTTTAGTGATGATGCCCCAACTGCGCTTGGTGGCAATGAGTTCCAGTATACGATAGTTCTGGGGAAATGCAAATTTTTTAACACCTCAATTCTTGGTTGATAACTCTGATATTTGAAGGCATGACTGTTTCTTGATCTTTTCCGGGCTGGTTACAGTTAGTACAGTTAGGGACGGTCATTGCCATGCATGAATTATGTAAATTTCCCCAACATTAGCGTAACTAACGAGTAAATGTTCGAATTAGCATAATGCAAAATGATTGGACTTTCACACAATAAACATTACGACAATTAGAATTTATTTGCATAATTAATGAAATACAATAATGGCAGAGAATTAGAAATCTCTGAACATATAATCTGTCTACGATAAAAGCCACACAGTCATGAAGTATCTGTAATTTCAAATATAGACAGGAAATAAATGGAGAAAAACAGCTTTTTAAGAGGTCTTTGATCCCATCAAATTATTTGTAACATTTATATTCATAATCCTTCTAGAAAGGAGGTACTTAATTGTCTGCACCTTTCAATAGTAGCCACAAGCTCTCATTATAACATACAACACCGTACTATTTTATGTACAAAATTCACTTCTACAGCTGCTATTTGGTGCTGTTTATATATACTAGTTACTTCTGTTTACGTTTATAAGACTTTTGGCAAGGTTGTGTTATACAGCCACAGTCTATACTTGTTTGACACTGCAATTACAATCCAAATTTCTAAACACAACCATTAAAATTCTGAATCAGCTAAGAGAAACATTTTCGAGTTGAATGCAAATGTAAAAATATACAAGGCACTTTGATGCAACTTTGACAGCCACTTACAAGTACAACAAGTTGGTCTGGACGATCCTTTTTTGAATAGCCCTCGTAAGAATGAAGATAAACAGCTAAAGTATTAGGCCAACAAACTGGTACACTTATTGCAACTTTACAAGGTTAGGGCCAATCCCTGCACATCATTAGGCCGTGTTGATATATGGATGACATCCTCTGAAAACCCAAAAGTTGATGCGAGCGTGCAAAATAAAAACGTTTGGCAAAAAAAAATTGCTTTGATTGCGAAACAAGGCCGGAAGGTTGAAGAAGGAAGGTTGAACAAATGATGAAACATGGAATGGCAAATAATAGTCAAGACTGTTAATTTTCATTTCTTAACATTTTTCTTCTTTTCCTTTGGGATTGGTTTATAGGCCATTTAGTATTGTTTTCCAATATTTTTTTTCTCAATTTACTGCATATACATGTATTTGCTCACTTGGAGGTGCTTTTACCAATTTACAGTATGGTCCAAAAATCTTTTTGGTCTAAAACAGGTTTGTTTTTTTTGTGTGTGTGTGTGGGGGGGGGGAACGAGGACTAAATCCATGCGGATGTCATCCATATAATCAAATCCACATGGCCTTGTC